ATAGTACTCCGAAATATGGGAGGCAATAGAGGACCGAGCAGGGGTCCATCCCATGGATTACAGTGCACTATCTACCAGCTTCTTGTTCTTTGTGCTTCTGCAGCACCTACCCGTACTGCCGTCAATGTATTGTCATCAAGCACTGAGGCCACTAACCCACTAAGCCAGGTGTAGAGTGTTTCCGGTCCTGGAACGCCGTGTACCTGATCGAGGTAGACACATGCCTTTCCGAAGAGGCCAGATGCGTAGCATTGGGGACCGAGTCAACCCTTGAACGCTCCTCCGGTCACACAGGCCCACCCAATCTAGCCTGGAAGGTTACCTTGGCGATCTCTATGCGACGCTTCCTATTGCACCCACAGCGTCCATCTTGATAAGCGTCATACATATATTCAGTCGGCCACCCCCTTGTCAGGAAGGCATCCAATATTAGCCGCCGGATTATGAAGGGGCGATATGGCAGTAAAAGGCAGAGAAGAAAAAAAAAACAAGAAAAGAGAATGCTACTGGCCCCTACGTGCAAACTTCTCGCGTGTCGGCCGCTAGTTCTCCCGAGTTATGGTTATATTCTGCTCGTCGGTGCAGGCAAAAGGCGAGTAGCGAGTTGTTGGCGTGACATTGGAGGTTGACGCATCAGTACTGGGGTAGGGCCGTAAATAGAACGGCTGATAGGAAAGTAACCACCTCCCTCCGACGTGAAGGTGTGGTGATGTATACATACGTGTACAGCCGGGCGACGGAAGGGCACTACTGACGATCAGAACAACTCGCTCATAAGTACCAGACATCTCCTCATACGGCTATTTTGTTCCGGGGGGAAGGTGAGACACGTACACCTCCTTTACAGACACTACTACCTGCGACATTTACTTCAAGTTTATGCAATGCACGGCGGGACGGGCCAGCACGAAGCGTGAGGGCTATGACCCTGTTGGGGGTCGGGTCACACTCGATTGTGAGGCAACTGACGAAACATACCCGGCGGGCTACCCACAGTATCTTTCTACCTGCCCAAGTTTCGAAGATGTGTTCCCCTCTTCTCTCTTTCTTCTTCACCACCCATCTGCGAGACCAGCAAACGCCATGGCTTCGCCATCGTCAATCCCACCTAGGACTGCGCTTTTCTAAGAAGGCGCCAACGCCTTCACGCTTATCTTTGGTTCCAATGGCGTAATAGTAGAGGCTTCTTTCAAACTCGTCATCACGGCCAAGATCATCGGCTGGTTCGCTGTTAGCTGTATGCCTTCCTCTCCTGCCATAATGGGCAGCACACACCTCTGCAGATGGCTTCTTTGGCCAAAGATATGGCACTTGTGCTCATGCCGGCTAGTTTGGAAGCAGTCTGGACCGCAGTGTCCAGTACTGTGCCGGGCTCAACAACTTGGGCCACCAGGCCGGCTGCCTTGGCGTCCGAGGCTGTGATGGGAGTCCCAAGCAAGATCATCTGCATTGCCTTCATCGCGTTGGTGTTAGCAGCCAACAGATTCTTCTAAAGCCACCCCAAGCCTTACGCGTAACAAGGCAGTGCCCGCGTGCTTACCTTGAACTTGCCAACTGCGCTTGTCAGCCTCTGGGTGCCTCCAGCTCCCGGCAGCAGCCCAATGCTCACTTCCGGTAGGCCAAACTGGCTGGTCGATGAGGCGAAAATCATATCACACTGTATGGAACATCATACCAGATCGTCAGTCACATCACCTTGTATTTGGGTTAGGCTGGGATAGGCTACTGACCATCAGGGCGACCTCGAACCCGCCCCCAAGCTGCCAAGTAGACGAATCGAATTAGTTAGGTTCTCTATCACGGCCGTTCACATGCCTCGGGGCAAAGCCGTGGTTGCAGCCAACAAAAAAAAGAAAGGTGTCTCACCGCCATGCCCTCGACTGCCGCTAGCAATGGTTTCCGAACGCTACGAAGACCTAAACAAAGGTCCTCGAGGTACCGGACCCGCCGAGCTTCCTCACCATCGAGGTTGGAGATCTCTTTGATATCGGCCCCAGCTTTTACCGCCGAATCAGAAATCTGTTAGAGATGGCCTATTCTACAAGTGGATAGAACGAGACCCATATAGAGGGACGAATTTGGTACTCACCACAAAAGAAGGTGCTGCTTCCAGTAATCACAATGGCTCGCACGCTCTTGTCCGAGGATGCCGCGGTCAAATGCTCGAGGAGCAAGCCAATGAGCTCTTGAGAGAGTGCATTCCGCTTGGTTGGCCTGTTCAAGGCCAACACCCTAACGCCATCGACAGGCGTTGATGCGTTTACCAGCGTCTCAGTCATTGTGGGCTTCTCGCACCGCAGCGCTAGATGTTGGGGGCACGCGGGGGGCTTGGAGTCCGGTTGATCCTGTCTGCCTTAGCTCAGGTCGTCAGATGCACTTGGATCTATTGTTGAGGTTCAGTCCTGGACCTTGAACGACTGAAAGAAGTCAAGTCTGGGCTCCGAGCAGCTCAAATACTATGTCCAGCAGCGCTAAAAATGGGTGAGTGCGCACTAGTTTGAGACACCAGGAGCCCAGGCCAGCTGAACTGACGAAAGACAATGGTGAGGGAGCGCGCAGTCACGCATCAGATCTGCACCCGGCTTCAGTCACGAGCGCTGGCTAGTCCAGGCAAGCGGGCCGCAGCTGGGCCGACTGCCAACGACATGCACCCAATCTACGGTATATCCAGAAAAGACCCCATTGCCACCGTAAACCGGCTTTGCTGGCGCATTCTGTCAAAGGTGCCTGTTGCGGCAAAAAAAAATAATGGGGGGCTGGCGCGTGGAGCAGATCCTGGTGGGCGGTTGAAACATGCATCTGGCTCGTTGCTCCCCCACTCGACGCAACGGAACCGACCCAGAAAGGTTGGCCGGACCAACAATCGATCGTGCTCGGCTCTGGACAATTAGTCATGGCTTACAGGTGCTGGGCGTATTGCGACACGCAGCGACTGCGATGCCCAGGAAAGGGAGGTTACAGATCGGAGGGTCGCGACCGAAGCCCAATTGCATGAGGTATGAAGTCACTTGCTGTTCTGGGCCTTCTCGAGCTGTTCCATCGACATGGACCAGGCCTGGTGTCAAGCTCTGCCGAAGCGAAGCGACTAGCCAAGGCAACCTGACGCATCGCACAGACAGAAGCAACTAACACTGCCTGCATGCTGCAGCTGAGCACTGACAGCAGCAGCACCGCACATCACCTAACCTTCAATGGATGCCTCTGCGACCGATTTTAGCGCCGCCACGTGCCGTAAAGTGGCTGCCGTCCACAGCCGCCAGCGCGCCTCTAGTCAAGTGCCAGCTGCGTCGAGGTGCCTGAAGGGCTAATCCCAGGCGAGCTGTGACAGCTGCTAGCTCTAGCTCGAGTACCCTGCCCTCAGGTACCTCTCCCTCAGCCAAGGTACCTACCCCATCATCGACATGGTGCTAAAGCGTGTGGAGCGGGTGCCCGGGGCTCCGGTGGCCCACCTGGGTCTTGTCCTAGTGCGTGCCGTTTGAGCTTTCTTGTTTCCAGGAAGTTGGGCCGATCGTCCCTCGCGGCAGAGCCAATACGGAGATGTAGCATCTCAGATGGAACCCTGCCAGAGAGACTGGTGCGCGATCGCTGGCCACCTACCCGTGCTCGCGGCCTGGATCACACTCTACAGATCACTCAAGATGCGCCCTCGATTGCCTGCCTGCCGTCATTGCTTTCTCCACGCCGCCGTCTGGCCTAAAGCTCAAACGCAACGCAACACGGACATATCGAAACAGGAGGCATCCCCGGCCCAGACCATAAGTGCCCTCGGCTCTTTTCTCAAAAGATTTCGGGCCCCGCGTAACGCTGGCGCAGGCAAGGGTGTTTGATCCCCAAAGTGCAACGCAATGATAATGTGCGCAGACACCACCGTCTTTGATCTGCACGTCCGATGACCACTCCAGACGAAGCCGGTGAGGGGCGCTTTTCAGGCCATTGGACCAGGCGACTAGGGTGAGGCGACGGCTCCCGCTATCTTCGTGACATCCGTCTTTATTATGGGCCTCCGGCGTGGTGTTGAAGCTTTGCAACCGGGATCTGATGCCCACTTGCTCACAAGCTTCCAAAGCCTCGCCAATGACCAAAAGGCCGCTGATGGACCAGTCCTTTGAGGCAAACACGATGCATGAACTAGAGCTGAGACATTTTCAGCAACTATACCCCCGCCGCGCTATAACGACTTTGCCCTCCTGTTGCTGCAACTATTTTCGCTTCATGCTGCCAACAGGCGTGGTCTAGACAGCAAAAGGACAGGTTTACCTGAATGCAATGTACTCCCTCCCTCAACTCATGCTCCACTCCTGGAGCTACAGTATCGAAATTCTTCCATCTCGTACTGGTCTCATCACCTTGATGCCATCATACGCAACCTCGGACAAACAATCGTCGATTATACCCTTGACCTGCCTTTCCCAAACGGGCTGGTGCCAGAGTTTTAAGATGCAACCTTTGCAGGGACCTGCGATTCAACCACATCAGTCCAACTCAGCCTTGTTCAACAACTTCATTCGATGCTGCTACGCACGGAGGATGTCCACCCCATCCACAGCTCACGAAAACCTGTGTTTGCGACATTATCTTCTCTCTTGCCCCGGCCCCTCATGATGCAGCCACGGGCACACCCCCTTTGGGAGATCGATATTCGGCTCGAGCTATGGCTGTTCCCGCTCACTCCATTCCCCATTTGGCATCCGGAACAAGCGACATGGCTGCCAGCTTGGCCTTTTGTGCCCAACCTGGTCACAATACGTGCAAGTCTTGACTTGTGTAGAGGACTTGGAGTATTCAGCTATCCTCCATAACTATTAAAGGGATCCATTGTCCCCCTCGAGGTCGACTAGTGCCGTCCAGGTTGTGCTTCTCACCCAAACCACTAGCCCACTATCTTTGGCTTATATCCTTTCATGTCCTCTTGAGGATCACATTGCCATTGCATACACTTTGACAGCATCTTTACCTGTGGCTTCTTCGTGCTCCTTCCAATCATGGGGACTCAAAGCACAATGAATGCCAGCGTCAAGAGCGATGGCTCTGAGCACTCGTTGGCCAACGCTAGCTACATGTTTGGGCCAAAGAATGTTGCCCGCTTCTCCACAGTCACAGAGGCTTTCCTCCACTTTGCTTCAAAGCAGCCTACACAAATTGCTGCTCGCAGCCTCTCGTCTGCACACATCACAGAAGTCACATACTCTGAGCTTCTTCAGCGTGCCAATGAGCTTGCACACAGGCTGAGGAAACTCGGCGTGACTCCAGGAAGCAGAGTTCCTCTCATTGTGAAGCGAGGAGTCGAGATGATCACTGGCATCCTGGCCATCCTCCTGTGCGGCGCTCAATATGTCCCTCTCGACGGGGGTGTTGTTCCCGACACCACTCTCCGTTATGTCATTGAGCAGGCGGGAGGCAGGTCATGCACCGTCTTGACACTCAAGTCACTGGAGAACCGTCTACATGGTTTCGATGTGGCAAACGTACTACCTATTGATGCGAGATCATATTCTCCCACCCCAGACCCAGCTCATCCTTTGAAGGATTTGGCGGAGCCAGATCTTGGCTGCTATGTCATCTATACATCTGGTAGGATTGGTCATTGCCTTCTTCTTTCAGACCATTGCTAATGTTCACTGTTAGGCACCACAGGAACACCTAAGGGGGTTGATGTTACGCACCGCAATGTGACCAATCTGGTCTGCCAGTCCCCTGGTGACCTCGGAATTGTCCCAGGAACCCGTGTGGGTCAAGTTCTCAACATCAGTTTCGATATGGGTAAGTTTCAGTGTTTGCATGTTAAAAAAAAACCTAGCTAATTCTTCTCAAAATTTACAGCTGCCTGGGAGATGCTTGGTTGCCTCTGCAATGGCGGGACTCTGATCCTTCGCGGCTCCAAGTGGCAAAGCGCACTGAGCCAGATTGATGTTCTGATTTGCACACCCAGTATCCTGGCAAAATATGAGCCCAGCGAGTTCCCAAACATCAAGGTTGCCGCAACAGCTGGCGAGCCTAGCTCTCAAAAGCTGGCCGATACATGGGCATCGGCCGCCACCTACTACAATTGCTGTGGTCCAACTGAGACTACCATTGTGAACACTATGCATCGCCACCAGCCGGGTCAGCCTCTGACCATCGGCAAGCCTACCCCAAACAACATCGTCTACATTCTGGGAGACGACAATCGTCCCGTTCCCTTTGGTGCTACCGGCCTCATGTGGGCTGGAGGCTTGGGCGTTTCCAAGGGTTACGTTTCCAACCCCGAAAAGACAGCCGAGAGATACTTGGCTGATCCGTTTGCTGCCGATGGCTCCATGATGTACAACACTGGAGACCTCGGCCGCTGGAACCCTGATGGCACTATTGATATTGTTGGGCGGCAAGATGACCAGGTTAAGATCAAAGGATTCCGTGTTGAACTTGACGGAGTCACTACCTCTCTGAATTCATGCCCAGGTGTCGACCGCGCCGCTGTTATCCTTGTGGGCGGCGAAATCCACGCCTTCGTTACTCCCCTGACCTGCGACGAGAAGACACTTCGGGAACATATGGGACGCTGCCAGCCCTACTACGCTGTTCCCAGTCACTTCCATTGTGTCGACGCGCTGCCTCTAACACCCAATGGCAAGATTGATAAGCGAGCTCTCGGATCAGCGTCAGTGGCGTTCTGTACAAGCGAGAAGCCTCTGTCAGAGCCGGAGATGCCCAAGGAGGCCTTTGTTCCGGTCAGAGCTTACTCCTCCGATTATGACGTCCCCTTCCAACCCACACCATCAACGACCTCTGCGTCAAGCAGCTCAAGCTCAAGCTCAAGCTCATTTGATGAGAAGATGGTTGATGAGAAAGTTATTGACCTGGAGGCCGGTATCCCCAACAAACTTCAAGGAAAGCGCCAGCGCGGTCTAAAGCATCGCGTGTTGATTGTTTATCGTCAACTTTTCTCAATCGTCGGAATCTTCAACATTGCTGCCGTCATTGCCCTTTTGCTGACGGGAGCGCCACGAGAGTGGCTTGGGAACATCACTGCCATCAACCTTGTCGTCGCGGTCCTCATCCGTCAAGATTTTGTCATCAACGCCCTGTATACGATCACCTGTAGCGTTCCCAAGTCCTGGCCCCTCTGGATCAGGACCAAATGTGCTCGCATCTTCCATCTTGGCGGCGTTCACAGCAGCGCTGCTTTTTGTTCGGCTTTATGGCTATTGGCTGGCAACATCAGTGACATCGTGTGCATGTGCACTGGGACATGCAGGGAAGGTTGGGGCCAGCAGTCAGTTGCAAACAAAACAATCTCATGGATCCTGGCTGCCGGGTTTGCATTCATGATTTGCCTGGCTTATCCCCCAATACGGAAGTCCAAGCACAATCTCTTCGAGCGCAGCCATCGCTTTACCGGCTGGACTATGCTGGTACTTTTCTGGGTCCAGACTGTTCTCAATGCCAATGATACCAAACCCGAGGGCATGTCTCTTGGTGAAGCAGTAGCTATGTCGCCCCCCATGTGGCTTTTGGTTGTCGCAACCATCAGCATCGCCATGTCATGGCTGTGGCTACGAAAGGTCCCCGTTGATGCCGAGGTATTCTCCAACCACGCTGTCCGTCTACACTTTGATTATACAGTCCCTGTGAATGGGTCTTTTACCCGCCTGTCCCATAGCCCTCTACTGGAGTGGCATTCATTCGCCACAGTGCCTGCCCCAACAGCAGAGAACGGAAGGCCAGCTGGTTACTCAGTTGTTGTATCCAACGCTGGTGACTGGACTAAGGATGTAATCCAAAACCCCCCAAAACACCTCTGGGTTCGTAGCGTTCCCACTTGTGGCGTGATGCGGATTGCAACTTGCTTCAACAAAGTTGTCCTCATTGCCACAGGCTCTGGTATTGGCCCGCTTCTCGGACACATCCAAGATCCCAGCTGCCCAACTCAGCTGATCTGGTCAACACCAAAACCAGAGGAAACCTTTGGAAAGGCCCTCTGCGACACCATCCGCAAGAAGGTCCCCAATGCTGTGATCCATGACACCAGGACACAAGGACGGCCTGACCTTGTCAAGATGGGATATAATATGGCAAAGGGTTTCGGCGCAGAAGCCGTCATTATCATTGCCAACGAGAAGATCACAAAGAAGGTGGTCTATGGCCTTGAAACTCGTGGAATCCCCACATATGGAGCCATCTGGGACAGCTAAACGGTTGTCTCACTCTATCACCCCATCTCCTTTGTCTGTATTCATTTTGTCGGCCTCGTTTTGGAGGACTTGTGTGCAGCTATCCCTCTCTGTTGAGGGAAAAGAAAAACGTGTATGCTGCTGCTGGCGGGGCTACCACTTTCTCTATGAATCATTTTAGCAATGTAACGACGGTCATTGTTAGGATATATGTCTTGTTGTTATTGGGATATTGGGATACTAGGATATTGGGAGGACATTCATTTGCATTTTACTCGCTCTTTTGTCTTTCTTTTGTAGTTATATACCCGCGGTGTTTGGAAAGGAATGGATAGCGGGACAGGTATGGGATAGCGTTTGGAATCGCATGGGATAAGCCACCCTCATTTAAGCCGAGATCGAATTGATATTTTTCCATTTGCTTCATCTGGGAACTGAGCATAAAACGAAAACAACTTCTGATAAGATCCCGTGGGACATTCTGGTCAGCCCTGAGGGTTTCCGTTAAAAGCCAGCAAGTTATCTGTTCCCGGAGGGACGCCAGTGAGAATATTGCTTGTAGCAAGCTCCCTAATGCGAGTACACAAAGTGGCTGGGTTCGGCGTTTCTTCCAATGCAGATAGATAAGCAGCAAGACCGCATATATGTGCAGAAGAGAATGAACTTCCGGAAAGAGTGGTCTTTTCGGTCTTGTGTGTAAGTAAGCCGATCAATAGGAGCCATCGGAGGGAGGAGGAATTACTCACAGTACCGCCATTGAGCCAGGTTGTCAGAATAGATTGACCGGGAGCGAAGATATCGACGACGGCTCCATAGTTGGCCGATGAGCTTCTTGCATCAAGCGAAGTGCTCGCGCTCGCAGTACAGGCAGATTCTTCCGAGCCGGGCGAGAAATTGCCGGCGTTCGTCCCGCTGCTCCCCGCAGCGACGGCGACGAACTTGCCCTCGGTGACGAGCGCAGCAACAGCGGCATTCAGCGTAGCGGAGTATGAGCCCCCGATGCTCAGATTCACAAAGACTCCGCGGGGGCAGCTCCTTGCAGCGGCGTCCTGGGTGACATACGAGATGCCGGAGAGGACCTGGGAAGTGGTGCCAGAGCCCGAGGCGTCGAACACTTTGATTGCGAGGAGGGTTGTCTTCTTGGCGACACCATATGTAGTTCCGCCGATGACGCCAGCGACTGCGGTCCCATGGCCGTTTCCGTCAGTGTTGTCACCTGCGAACGAGACTACCTGGATAGCTCGGCCATCGAAGTCCTATGACAGAGTAATGTTAACAACCTAGCAACTCGAGACGAGGGATTATAGGACATACAGGATGGGTAGCTTCGATTCCAGTATCTACCACGTAGGAACATGTGCCCGCTCCAGCACTTTCGTCGTATACATACTTACCGGCACCGTTAAGTCGACTGGAGATGCGAGCAAGGCCCCATGGCGAGCCAGGTTGCTCAACGTAAGCGGTTGCACGCACAATCGAGTCTTGTTCGATATATTCGACCTATCCACGCCAAGAAATAAGATCCCTTTCGCCTTGTCTCTATCAGAATGATAGAGTTGTCTTTCATGGTGGCGATGACTTACATCAGGATGTGCTCTCCAATTCTCCAGAGCGGCTGCATCGAGGGTACCAGCAAACCCTTTAAACCCTTCCAGGTAGATCCGCTCGGCAACCTGGTCCAAGGTCTCAAGGGTTTCTTCTACAGCCCCCCGGGCAGTTCCATCTTTAAATTTGACGATATATTTGTCAAAGCCTGCCAAATCAGAGTCTTGGTGCGTGAAGAGAGGAGCGAGTTCGGTGCGTGGAAATGCCGTGCCAAGAGTCAGTGGTAAAAGGGTCGCCAACAAGGTTGAAGGTCTTTTCATTTTCATTTGTGTTTGCTTTCTCTTTCACTTGGCCGATGTATGGAATATTGATGCTCGAATGAGGTGGATTCTTACAGTGTCTTTTCTGGCATCGCTGGAGCAACGGACCATCTTATATAGGGAAGATTGAGCAGGAGTTCCATTCACCAGTGTCCCTTTTCTACATTTAGGAAGCGTTGCAGCAGAGCTGAAAGGTGATATATCACTACCTTCCTAAATAGGGTCGATGTGAGGCCACACTGGCGTCCAGGACAGTTTATGCTGGGAATTACTACAAAAGAATGTCTCAATCACTCACGAAATGGTCGCCTCGAGAAGAGACGTATTGTTGAGGTTGTCGTCAGGTCATGACATTAGTTCTAGAGTTGTCCGGAGGTTCAACATGAAGCCCATGATCTAGAACTATTGGGCAAGGGAAGAGTTGGTGTGGCGGAGAGACGCGGCTGAGATGCAAGGAGACGTGAGAACCGGCCCAGAGGAGACCTGAAATACGAGAGAATAAGAGGTAACGGGTAGTTGGCATGTCTGTAGCAAGATAACGCACGGTATGTTTCTACATCGGGCAGCATGGCGTCAAACCAATCGCTCTGGTAGCCATAAAGGGAAGCGGCATGAGCAATATGCAACATAATCCAAGTCGAAGGGCATTGGGTGAGAATTGGGGAAATGCATCATGCCAAAAATGATGATCCGATTGAGAGATGAGTAATGCTGCAGGAGCTGGGCATCGCAGGCAGGTGCCATGGAGGCGTCCAACTTCCCTCCTTCCTTCCTTCTCTGGGCGACAAGCTGCGATAAGGTTGAAGCTGAAATCATGACACGCCTCAACAATTTCCCCAACATCGCGGTCAGCTCTCGGCCGTGATCAGGAGACCTATATCCTCGGTCTTGGTTTTGCCGATGGCCAGCTGACAGGAGCAATTAACAATCTTATTCCTCGGGTAACACAGCTCGGAATGAGGGCGCCACGAAAGCCCAAACCGGGCGACAAAGAATCTATTCAATTCAAGGTATCAATTCCCAGTCCATACCCTAGTCGCTTTTATATAGGGGTTCTAATCATAATCACCTTTGTTAGATCTAATTTTCCGTACCAATCCTCCCAGACATCTCGTCATACAGACACTTAGCGCAAGGTTGCTAGTACGACAGACATGACCTGGTCTGGCTCTCTGGCCTGGTCCCCAGCGGGAAATCCCCCTCCGGCAAAAAAAAGATGGCTGGTGATCGACGCCCGTCACCGGTAAACTAGCCCAGTGGAACGGTGGGCAAGCTTGGCTGGGATTAATAGGTTAGCGTGCCAGCCAACGCAGGCCTTTGGAAACCCTACCGCCATTCATCATCATACATATACAGCTTAAGCTTGCCCAGCACTATTCATCAATGGTGATCCTCGGAGACCCGGGGGCTTGGGCGACCGGGCCCTGTACTACGTGCATGGGAAAATCGGCCAGGGAGAACTATCCGAGGCCCTTCATGTGGCGGGGACACGATGCTTGCCAGGGAGTCATGACCAGCATGTGAGGGGGGCGACCAGGTCAAGGTTCTCCTCAAAACCGAAGCCTCCCTCCGCACTTCAATTTGCGGGGTAGCAAATCTCGACCGAGGCACCGCAGTCATCTTTGTTTCCGGGCTGCACCAGTATGACTGTACTGCGGAATAGCGCTATATGATGGATCATTGTTCTGACGTGGACCTCAAATATCAAGCAGCCTCCACCAATTACTGTCCGCCCAGCAGTGTGGATGCATATGATATGTAGAGTGATGTATCTGAATCTATATATCAAGACAAGCACACACCGATTCCTAGCCTGTCCAGCTGAGCAGCCACTGTCGATCCCCACGGACGGCACGCCATTTTCTAATTATTTATTCTGCTCTCTGAGATTTTGATTTTCTAGTTCTTAATTCATACAGATCGATCAGAATCTCAAGTAAAGATAGACAACGAAACGGCGTGTCAAAGACAGGAAGCGCCACCATGGTTTACACATACGGAAAGGAGCGTCCTGTCCCAAATCTCGACCTACTGTCATTTCTTTTTGGCAAGTTCAGTCAACTAATTATCTACTTAATAAGTCATAGCTAATCCCGCCCATTCACCCAACTTATAGAATCCTCCTACTGTCGCGCCTATGAGAACACCCCAATCCACGCCGAAGCTAAAGACCCCAATCGATTCATGACCAAGGCCCAAGCACGCACCCTCTCAAAGAACTTTGCATACTTCCTCCGGCACAACTATGGCATCGGTGCCTCTGGCCCCGGAAAGGATGTCGTCGTGACCGTCTCTACTGGCCAGCATGCCCTCGCCTGCTTGTTTTACGGTGTCATTGCAGCCGATGGCGTCTACTCGGCTGCCTCTCCTTCGAGCATGGTTAAGGACCTTGAGCGGCAGATCAAGGACGGCCCCGGCAAGGTACTTGTCTGTAGTCCTGACCTGAAGAAGCTGGCCCTTGCCGCCGCTGAGGCCGCTGGCCTCCCCAAAAGAAACGTCCTCGTTCTGCAGAGTAGCCCCGAGATGAAGCTTGAGTCGGCTGATGGGCAAGTAGCTTGTGACTTCAAGGGCAGTCTGTCTTGGAGAAGGATATCTGACCCCGTCGAACTTGAAAAAAGTAAAATCTGCATTCTTTACTCTTCCGGAACAACTGGTCTCCCCAAAGGTCAGTTTTGCCCCATTGCTAAACAACACATTGAAAGACAACAAGTTGTCCATCCCTCCTCAGGTTCGCTCAAAGGATTCAATCTAACAACACATATCAGGTGTGCTTATTTCACATCTGAACATGGTTGCCGAAGCATTCCTCCCAGGCGAACTCACCAGGCCATACTTTGACGAACAGGCACGCCAAGGTGACCCCTTTGACCGCCGAACCCTCGGCCACCTACCGACCGCCCACATTGCTGGTGTCCAGGGCTACTTTGTGAATCCTTTCTACGAGGGTGGGATCGTCTACTGGATGCCCTCCTTCAACTTCGAGGATTTCCTGCGCTACAGCAATGACCTCAAAATCAATGGCTTCTTCACGGTGCCTCCCATCTACATGGCCATTGCCAAGCACCCAGCCGTCAAGGACCAGTTCCGCTACGTGAAACTCGCCATCAGTGGTGCCGCACCCCTTACAGGTGATCTACAGGAGGCTGCCAGGCGGAAGATGACCATGCCGAATCCCATCACGCAGACGTGGGGGCTGAGCGAGACTACTGGCTCCGTTACTTATACCCCTCCCGATCGAAAGGTCATCCCAGGCAGCCTCGGACCACTTCTCCCCAATGTTTCTCTCAGGTATGTTTAATCTTCTATTCTATCCTTTTTCCAGAGATGCCTCACTAATTTTCAAATGTCTAACCCACTCATTGATAGACTGGTGGACGATGACGGCAAGGATGTAGCTCCTGGTGAGCCAGGTGAAGCACTCATCAAGGGGCCCGTCGTCAGTCAGGGCTACCACAACAATCCAGAAGCAAACCAGAGTGGCTATGCTCCTGGTGGGTGGCTCAAAACGGGAGACATTCTTCGACTCAAGGACGATGAGCTCTACGTCGTCGACAGGAAAAAGGTACGGCGGATCGCCCATCTCCCAAGAAACCACCCCGAAGAAAGCCAGACTAACACTAGACCTCCTCCAACACAGGAACTCATCAAATACAAGGGCCTTCAAGTCGCCCCTGCAGAGCTAGAAGGTCTCATCGCTTCCCATCCGGCCGTCCTCGACGCCGCCGTGATCGGCATTGCGCAGAACGGCACCGAGGTACCCCGTGCCTACGTGGTGCTCGCCCCGCCTGCGAAAGGCAAGGTGACTGAGGAGGCACTCGTCGAATACGTACGATCCAAAGTTTCCGACTACAAACGCCTGAGGGGCGGGCTTCGCTTCGTAGACGCCGTTCCGAGAAGTCCCTCTGGTAAGATCCTCAGAAAGGATGTCAGAGAGATGAGGAAGCTTGAGGAGCGCGATGCAAAGTTATAGCTTCAACCATACGCCATCTCGCCTCCCTCCATAGCTGCCGTAGTCACAATGAACTTTGTATATCGCCCAATGGCTTAGCCTCCAACGAAATTGGATGCTTCCTCTTACAATTTCAGTTTTAATGGGGCGTTTGAATCGAACAGTTTACAAGCCAAATAGCGGATAGCCTTGTCATTTTTTTTCTACCTAAATCCATGCCTATGTCTCATAAATTCGTCTCCTCGTGTTTGAGTAACTCAATTAAAAAAGAAACATGCTGCCCACAAATGCAATGCTGAAAAAAGTATATGGTTCCCCCCTCCCGATATCAATTAATATTTGTCTAATTTTGCAACGTTACACTTTCGATGGCTTCTTCCGCTCGGCGTCCCACTGTCGCTTAATTCCATTCTTCCATTCGACGAAATCTCGAACATCGAGGTCCCCGAAAAGCATCTGCCCTGTGTGCAATATCTTGTTCAAGGGTGGCACGCTGAACCAGTCGTGAGTGGATCTGCATACCACCTCGTCGCCTCTGATATCCACCGCCGCATTGTCTGTCTTGATCATCTTCAGGCACCGAACACAAAATGAGTCAAGACAGAATCGGCAAAACGAAAATTCTTCATGGTGTGGGATTGTTTCCAGACACTGGCCACAGCTCCGGTTGGAAGACTGAATGTCTGGCAACTTAGGTTCCGGAAACTCTCGCGATTCAACAGGGGACACAGTGTCGGTGCGGATCGATTCCTGAGGGTTCACTTTCCGCATCGATACCGCCAGCGCTGTAGCATTCTCCACGTCATCAGCAGCAGTGAACAGCTTGACGAGATTCTCTAGGGCGAACTGGTCGTTTCTAAGCTCGTCGTCCTCAAGAATCTCGCAACTCTCGACAATGAGCGCGCCAAGCAGCTTCTTTGCCTCCGCAGCTCTCCCCCTAAGGCGGTAGAAGAGTGAAAGGTAGATGGCAGCCGTGTTCACGTCCGAACCAAGCATGCTAGCAGGCATATCAAGGTTTTGCTGCGCGCCTTGTCTATCCATCACAGTCTCCAGGCGTTCGATCCAAGCATCGGCTCCGTGACTCTTGATGCCTATGTGAAGCACCTTTTGCTTGTACAGGGAGGCCAGTCTCTGAAATGAGATGGCGTGTGCTTGACGCGTGGGTACATTTCCTCGAGGGCGGAACTCAACAAGGGAGATCCGCTCAAATATTTCAATAGCTCCGTCATTGTCGCGCTTAAGCATCAATGTCGTACCTATGGCGAGACGCAAATAAAGCTCTTTGAGCGTGTTACGGACCGCGTGAGCAGCCCCAATGGCCATATCAAACTTCTGCAGGAGGAGCTCGCTCTGATCTACCTTGCAGGCGGCTCTGGGAAGCCACTCCTGCACAAGAGGCATGTTGTATTCTGAAAGGAATAGATCCACCAACCGGCTTTGTTCGCGACTGCGACTTGTTGCCTTCAGAGATAGGTCTTCGACGAGCTTCATCATATCAGCGTGTCTGTTCTCTACTGCCAATATTCTCAGATATGCAATAACAGCCTCGAAGCGCTCTGACTTTCTCAAGAGAACAATCTCTGCACTCTGAATGGCCTTTTCGAAATATCTCACCGACGCAGCAACTTGGTCAGTAAGATAATAGCATTGAGCAATAACAAACTGATCCTTGTAAAGCCGCCATCTGGACTCCGCAAGGTGCTCGGCTGATAGTTTTCCCTCACCAATTGCCTTGATTTCTGCTGCTTCGCACTCCAAGGAGAGATCGAGCGCCTTCTCGTATAGCTCGTCCTTGAAGAGGCAGAATGCCTTGCGTCCGCGCGATTCCACGCTGTTGCGATCTAGTTCCAGAGCCTTGTCGTAGAAATACAGTGCTTTGTGGTGCTCTCCCGAGGTCAGGTACGAGCTTCCGATGCGTCTATACCACTGAGCGTTTTGAGGTAAACCAGTCCATTCAGCAGCCTTGGCAATTCGGTCGGCGAGAGGGATTGAGGACCAACGGCACTGGGAATCAGCCCAAGAGTACCCCTTATCCATGAAAGCGATCGTTTGAACAATCTTGAAGCAGAAATTTGCTGGGACATAGAGCTCGAAATCCGCTGCCAGCCACGCCTTCGCATAGAAGCGTCCAATGGCCTGGTAAATGCCGGTTGGCGTGTCCACGGCTTGCCGAGCCCAGTCCCGAGCCTTGGGCTCCAGGCCCGCCAAGACATCGGCGTCTCCCATCCACTGAAGAAGAACTTTGATGCTTTTGTCCGCAAGAACTTCCAAACCCTCGTCATTCTCTTCGTACATGATAGTCCATTCGTATATCATTTGCTCATCTGTGAGCATTTTATACAATTGGGGTCCAATCTCTTTCTTATCCTCACGGCTAACCTTTGAGAGGTCAATAGCTTCCAAATGCTCCTGCCAGTACCACGCCGCATATTGCTTGATACCCTTCCTACGGTATCTAAGTTTCTGCTCGTTGAACCAATTCTTGTCGCTGAATATGCGCATGCAAGTCTTCAATACGTGTATCTTAGCGTCGATAGGAGGAAAGCCGACGGTCACAGCCTCGTTTTCGTGCCTAATAGTAGTCGTAGTATCGTGATCCCGGAAAAATTCTCGCAGGGAGGTATGGAAGAGATTGACAGTAGTTGTTGCCTTGTTCGATCTAAATTCCAGTTCCTGGGTCTCAAAAGCTAAGGCTCGCAAGCCTGGGCTTCTTGATGGGCTGAACGCACGGTCAGGTGGGCTGGTTCCCAGAGAACTAGGACTCGTCTGACGCCTCTGGCTGTTGATTAACTTTTGGGCTGGGTGTACCCGACGGCTAGGGCTATCTTTCCCGGCAGAGCTGGATCTCCTCGATCGGTCACCTGTTGACCCTTGACTCCTGGCTCTATGGTGTGTCCGTTCATGATCTTTGATGAGATCATCCGTGGTGAGGCCATCCTCTCTCTGTAGGTCGAAAAAGCATGCATATTGCCCTCGCAACAACTCTTCAAATCGGAATGGTAGGTCACCGTACTTCATGATCAAGGCTGCTTCAAGCTGCTCGAGCGTCAAAGCTTGCTCAGCGCAGGATACCCACATAAGCATTTCATTCAGGTCAGTCGCCTCCTCATCAGACATTGTTGAGGCGAGATCCGAGAGGGTTTTCTGGAGAATAGCGTTGATCTCTCTTGGGTAAGTCTTAAGAGACTTGAGTATCGAACTTGGGCGTCGGGCTCTATTCACATCTGCCAACATTAACTTTGCAAGAATGAACAAGCCGTCCACACGTTTAACCATCTCGTCAATGATTTCTTTCCTGAACTCCGGCGTACTCCGATTAAGAATTCTCGAGTTGGAAATTTCGTATTGGATAAAAGCTCCGACATCCTTGGCATTCCGCTCAGGCGTAACAAGGGTAGTAGAGACTTGATCACTTTTCTCATCTGGGTCGAGGAATTGAGTTACCTGTTCCGACATATATGATCTGCCTATCAGAGCCAGATGAACCTTGGACAGGCCTTTCGATTGTTGCTCCTCCAGTTCTGGAGTTAGAAGGCTCAGGAACTCTTCCATTTCCGAAATGTCTGCTTCGTCGATTCCGTCCAAAAATACGTAAAAGTTTCGGCCGCGCTTGTCTTTTTCGAAAGGCTCAATGAATAGTCGGCGGTATGCACTTGAGAGTGTCTTGATGTCATCGCCACTGTGTAGGTTACGAACTACCTGTTTTCCATAGTAGGCGTCGCTCTCACTCAACTGATAAGCAACATCTCGAAGGGCTTGCAGGACCGATCGTGTTTCCGGGTCGTTTGCTCGGAAGTAAAAGTATCCAACATGCTGTAAGTCCTCAGTGGCCTGAGATATTAGTCGTGTAGCCAAGAAAGACTTGCCCGTTCCTAATTGCGAGAGATGGTCAGGAAACGACATTCACAAATTGAATTTAGAGAAGACTCACCAGCACCACCAGATATCCATAAATACTTAGTATGGCCACTAAACCAGGACTTCACGCCTTCATCCTTAAGGAGCCATTCGCCCGTGCCCCGGACTATCGACTTTGTGAACAAGGAGTAGTAATCTTCGGGAAATGGCGAAGGCCCTAGTATGTCTCTGAGCTTATCCTGCTGCGCCAGAGTCGTTCTTTCTCGGTATTCCGACCGAAGACTCTGCACATTCTCATTCACTTCGTTTACGAGACTTTCCACTCGGTCTGTGGTTAGACCCATGCGTTTAGTGTCCTTGTAAATCTCCGCTTGGACATGTAAGGCTTCGGTTTGAGTCAGATTTTTCAGATTCTCCAGCGCAGGCTGCACAGGGCTGCCTGCTCCGAACAAGCCCTTGAAGTAGGCCTTTACACGGCCTCGTTTGATTTCCTTGGTGGAGAGGACCAGGACTTGGAACAAAGACGCCAGGATAGAGACCACATGACCTCGAAGGGCCGGAGACATTTCCGATTGGAGGTAGAGGTCGAGGCGCAAAGTGAATCCCTATTGATTGTGTCAGCAATCAATTTAACCTTGGCTTGTTTCTTTTACATGATACCTTGCTACGCAAAGGAGCATTAGAGTGGCAGGCTACGTACCTTGAGGTTCTCAAAAAGCTCTACAATCTTGTCGTACATGGACGAGACATTGTTCGCAGCGTTGATCAGGTACGCAACAGCGGAGAAGACTGTTTGAACAGGAGGGTACGTCTCTGAAAGCGCTCCTCCAACGACCTCTCCAATGACCTGAACAGGCTCGAGCATGGCGCTCAGAGCGCCAAAGATGTGATGCCGCTTCTCGCGGAAGGAGGAGAACTTGTCGTTCTGCGTGACCAGTTGGTTTTTGAGCTCATCGATCGACTTCATTGGTGGCTTTAAAAACTCCTCGAGGCTTTGCCCCGAGGATTCCTGGTACTGTTTGGCAGCATCGACGAGAACGGCAGCAAACTGGTCCTCGACGGTTGCATGAGGCGTGGGGCTGTATTTCGGCGGTTCGCCTTGCGGACTATATTTTGGTGGTTCGCCCATTCTGAACTGTGCTTCTTGTGCCTGTCCAGGCTATACAAGCTAGGTAAAGACAGACTAAATGTAAAATACGCAACAGCGAGATACAGAGAAGGGTATCCAAGTCGAGCAGCGGCCGACGCCCAGAGTTTTATACGAAAGGACGCGAATTCGATCTAAGCCTGTGGTATACGTAGCCCCTCCTCGCACAGGGCACAACGACAGGATGAGGCCGTTTGATAGGCCCAAGCGCATGGGGATTTTCGCCGCTGCAGCTTGACTAAGAATAAGTATTTAGTGAGCGGACACAACTAGAAGGAGGGGTTGAAGATGCATCGTCGTGGGGCGGAGGGGAACAGGCAGCGGACTCGTGACAGGGACAAGGGCTTGCTGATTGGTGACTGGACGGCCTTAGGGCTGCATATCGTCTCAGGGCGACGAAGCCGACAAACAAACCCCCTTCATAGCCACAGGGGGGTCGGAGGACAGAATAAAGTCGGGCGTTGGGCACTGGCCTTTGCGAGGATGGGTGGAATTGGGCTTAGACGCTGATTGCGGCTCAAGAAAGAATCGTCTGGATGCTGAATTGGAAGGACTTTGTGTTCGCGTGATGCGGTGTGAGATGTGGATATGGAAGGCATCGACGGTTGGTTTAGTTGGCGGTAGTACTTGCCAAAACCTGGGGTTTGTGTGCCATGCAGATCATAACTTAGGTACCCTGGAGCCAGCAGACCGGCATGCATAAACATAAGGTAGAGAACAGTATATAGGACGCCTACTATACATCCAGTCACTGCCAAAAGTGTCGAGATGTCCTCCTGACTCACTGTTCACAGCCTTGTGACCGAAGGCCTCCTGTTTCTTTCTTCCCCGTCGCTGGAAATACAGGTGGCGTGAATGTGATGCATCTAATGTTGGAGGGGTGTTACAGCTGCTCCCGGCACGGCCCGCTGAAATTAAGTGCTCCTGGACCAACAAACTCTTCTAAAACGAGCGCCGCCTTCAGCCTGCTCTAATAATATACCTGTAAGCGGTACGTGGTAGTATTCTTATGTACGTCGACATTACCGAAATACAGCCAATTTCATTGCTGACTGCCGGCAGTATGAGGGCGCCAAAAAACTTCGATTGTCTGACCAACAACCAGAGTGCCGAAAATACCCTTGCCATGATGCGTTATCCCTTGTTGACGCAGATCAGTTGAGTCAGCTCCTCGAAGTCCCACCAAAAGACTGTCACGAGCCGCGACTGAACCCGCGCATACCGTCATCGCCTTGCCCGATAGTAGTGCATCGATGATGGATGATGTGGACTATTTTCTGCGAACTGTCCATGCTGATTACAGGTCTTGGGCTTCATAGGTCCAGAGAGTTATCAATAGAATCAGCCCTCCCTCTTCACCAGCAGGCAGCCACTATGCCATGATCGAGGAGGCGTCTTCCGTCAGTACTAGCGTCATCAATACTACCCAATGATGTTTTGCGTTCCTTGGGTAGTTTCTAGGTGCCCTTTTTTTCCTGGAGGTGTTAGAAAGAAGCATCGAATTATTGTCCTTCCATACGGAGGACTAAGCCACACATTCAAAATCCTTGGCACAACTCACCAAAGCGGCGCGTTATACCAGGTGCGCTCTAAGCCTCATAAGATGACTCTTTATCATACGTAAGTGTTATTATATTTTACACATTGCCAACTATCCAACAAATGTTGGAAGACGAATTTCAGTCGAGATAATATAGGGTAGGCGTCACCGAAGGGATACCACCCTTCTATCATTAACCCAAGCTCTCCAGAGTCTTTTTTTTTTTTCCTTTTTCTTTTTTTATATGTGTGAAAGACTTAACGACCATGAGTATTTTTTTCTTTTTTTTTTTTTTTTCGGTTTTATCTATACTTTTTTTGTAAATGTAGCTTGATATGAAAGTGAACTGGCGTTTTTCTCTCTGAGTAGGCTTGTTCTTGCTTGTGGGATGCTTAAACGACTCGGCTAGACTCGTCCCAAGATGCCGTGAAAGAGTACCGGCATCGCAAACTGTTATGATATTGTATCAGTATTCCTAGAGGTGAGACAAATCTCAGTGTGCAAATTCGTATCGACACCCAGGGAGGCCATTCCCGTACATCCGCCAACAAGGTTACGATCGATCCTCATCGAAGCAATGTAATTGCACATTTGGGGAATTATTTCACGATACAGACTCATAGATTATGTATGTAATCTAGGATTAAGGACTGCATCGATGTTAGTATTTTAATGAAATGCACTCAAATTGAGTGGTATGGCATATGTCTCAGAGAAGAGGACTTGGATTGGAATGCCACACACATCTCAACCGCAGTTTCTTGAGAATGCTTCTCCTTTTTCTATTAATATCCTACAAATGAAGCGCGTCAAGAAAATTTGGCCAAATTCTTCTCAAGAAACAAAAATCCGACCTCCCAGCTAGCATCAAGCTTGCAAATGCTGATATGAGGAGTAGAGAACCAACAGGCTAGTCAACATTCTGGGACCGACTGAAAATCCCACCAATATCGCTTGAACTTCAATAAGTTGAAGAAAGACTATAATAAGAGCCCGGTGAATATATTTTAACGCGAGTTTGTGACCCATGCTTTCATTAGAGAGTGTCATGTAGGGCTGAACTGGATCTCATTTTGCCAAGCAAGCCAAGTTGCTCGGAAAAGAGGAGATGAGTCTGATTCAAATCATCGACGGTAGCGAGTGCAAATCCTTCAAATGTTCCTGAATGTCTTAGACAAAAGAGCTTGAATAAAAGGGGCAAGACTAATTCCATCGGTGCGAATACCCACTCCAGGCGAAGACATGTAAACAACCCCTTACCGCCTCTAGTCTGGCACGTACAAACTGCTCGTATGTGTCATGTTCGACTTGCCGTTATGCTAGCGAGATCCACCACTGGAAAAAAGCACACTTTTATCATAAGCCTGTTGATTCTGGGGTAGACTAGACAAGGATTCTAACATTAATCCTTGTTCTAACGCTGGACCATTTCGGCGTCTTATCCGGGGCCCCAGAGGTAATTGGCGACGCCGAGTTTTGGTCAGGAACTCTTGAGATCACAGTTATACGATCTACCATTTAAATTATCACAGTAGGCGAGAAAAGCAATGTAAACGGGCTTGGAAGTAAGTTATATGGATTGTTTTTTTTTGAGAAGATGAATCTTGGTCGTTAGGAGAGAGGACAAACAAGACGTGAGTTTCGCATCAAGATCCACTAACATGATACACGGTTTGCCTTTGGCTCATGTAGCAATATGGTATTTTGCTTAAAAAGAATGAAGTTTAAGATGAAAATTCTATTTCTTTTCCTTGGGCCGGAGCTGATTGGGCCACGGGTATCCCTTGTGTTGTCTCTTTCGCGTTGGAATGCCCCAATATGAAGTAAGCCAGGGGCAGCATCAGAATTGCCTCTGGAACGTCTTGTAGCAAGAAGCAAGTCACTTAGATCCAGCCGGTGTATTCCGCCGAGTGGTCCGCCGGTAAAATTTCCACTCTTGATCCAAACATCGTCGAAGTGTTGCTGATGGCTGGCACGAGCCGCACATCTGGGTATTGGACGGCATCGCATTCCTCATCTCGGCGAGCGGCTAGGCGCACGGAGGGCCCATTCCAAGATACACCTTGAGGCGCTTGTTGAATACACAATCACCATCTCTAAGGGATGATGAAGTTTGTCTATATAATGATGCCATTGTCACAACCTTCTCTGGCTTTTCTCATCAACAACCAACTCAATTCACTCTCTACACATTCACACACAGGCTCCCTCAGCATCACTCGTGATCAAGCATCATCATCAACAATGGCCAAGTCAATCCTTCTCACTGCTGCCCTCGCAGCTGCCGTCGTTGCCCAAGGCGGCCCCGGTGGCCCGCCTCCCAACGGCCCTCCTCCCCCAGGAGTCGCACCTTGGGGACCCCCTCCTCCTCACCATTGCCCTGAGGGCAAGCCTTGCCCGCCTCCACCACCTCCTTGCCACGACTGTGACGATGAGTGCGGTCCGGAAATTTGCATCATCATCATCGACGGGACCGTCCCTCCTTGTGGACCTGAAGGCCACTGCCTGCCCGCTTGCCCAACCAAGTGCCACAAGAAGAAGTGGCCTCAGGGTCATCCTGAGCCACCATGCCACGGCGACAAGTGCCCTCCTCCACCGCCATGCCATGGAGAGAAGTGCCCTCCCCCTCCTTGCCACGGCGAGAAGTGCCCTCCCCCTCCTTGCCACGGCGAGAAGTGCCCTCCTCCTCCTTGCCATGGAGAGAAGTGCCCTCCCCCTCACCATGGCGAGAAGTACCCTCCTCCTCCTCCTTGCCACGGCGAGAAGTGCCCTCCCCCACCGTGCTATGGTGAAAAGTGCCCTCCCCCTCCGTGCCATGGTGAGAAGTGTCCTCCTCCTCCTTGCCACGGTGAGAAGTGTCCCCCTCCTCCTTGCCACGGCGAGAAGTGCCCTCCTCCCCACCATGAGAAGTACCCTCCTCCTCCTCCTTGCCACGGTGAGAAGTGCCCTCCTCCTCCCTGCTACGGCGAGAAGTGCCCTCCCCCACCGTGCCATGGTGAGAAGTGCCCTCCCCCTCCCCCCCCGCCATGCCACGGTGAGAAGTGCCCCCCTCCTCCCTGCCACGGCGAGAAGTGCCCTCCTCCCCCTTACACTCCCGTGAAGGAGTCTTACTGCAAGGGTCCTGAGTGTGAGGCCAAGTGCCACCCCGAGAAGTGCACCTACGTGCCCGAGGGTCACCCTCACCCCGCTTGCGGCTCCGGCGAGAAGTGCCTGCCTCCTTGCCACTCCAGCTGCCCTCCCCGCGAGAAGCCCTCCACCGCTGTCACCACTCCTTCCCCCCCTCAGAAGCTGGTGCCTCCTACCACCATCGCCACTCCCACTCCCCCCAAGACCAACGAGGTCCCGGAAACTCCCAAGGGCGAGAACAAGGTCCCCATCATCAGCGGTGCCTCCAAGACCAGCCAGACTGGCATCTACCTCAGCATGGCTGCCGCCTTCGCTGCCATGCTCTGGCTCTAGAGCACTAATATTTTGGGATTTGAGGCGTCTGGAAAAGGAAAACGGAACCAGAGTGCAATGCAAAGAATCGGAAGCAAGGAGACGGATGGGGATAATTGGTTGTTTAGGAGAGGTTTTGGATGCAGTAATATCTTCTTGTACTCACAGATTTGTGCCTTAGTTTTGACCGAAATAAAAATGTTTGCTTGATCCTACCATTAAGTGTCCTCAGTTTGTTGGTGCATCTGTCAGAGGAACATATCGAACTCCAAACAGCCGCCGCTCTTTGATCTGCCCCTGATCATCCTTTTCGATTCTCCACACCGATTGACTGATCCCTAATGTGTCGTCGTCCACTGGGATGAACATACTGTTGCGTGCTAATTAGTTTTCATACTCAATCCATATCGTGTTGAACTCACCATCCTGGTGCTTTGAGCTGGCTGAGAAGCTCTGGATGGACCTCCTTCGCCGATGCACCGACGTGAATCACATCCCAGTCACTCTCCCCTTCCTCCACCCAACCCTTTCTCCCATCCCCAACTCTGTACCGAATAACTCCATCGTTGACCAACTCTGAACCTCTAGTACTCTTCCGAGTGTTTCTCTCACCAAGGTCTCGAAGTTCTTTGATGTGTTCCAGCCCTACCACCAACCCCTCGCCACCAATCATCTCGGCCAACACATGCGTCAAGTACCCAGAGCCAGAGCCAACGTCAAGAATCCTCCGAGGAGAAGAAGTTGGTGTGAGATATGGCAAGACATTCTCAATAGCTGAGGCGTGCATGTGAGGAGCAGAGATGGTAGCCGCGTGCCCAATCGGTTGAGGTGAGTCCTCATACGGCATCGCCGGAGCGTAGTGTGCCCGGTCAACCTGCATGGAAACAAGCCATTGTTAATGCTAGGCCATTCGCCTGATGGGGACGTATGGAAAAATGATCAATTTAGATTTCTTACCTTTAGGAAGGCTTCCTTGACTCCTTGGTCGTGGATGAGCTGGTTCCTCCATAAGTTCTCAATCAGCTCCGAGTTGGACGTCCCAGAACACCGCCAGGCCATGTTGGAGATCGATCGGCGTCGAAAAGGCAAAAATAACTTCAATGCAGAGCTTCTGAGCTGGTGTGTGATGATATTGTTCCAGGCGGTTCCCATTAACAATAGGCAGTTAGTTGTGGTTGTAGGTCATGAATGGCTGAGGATTCGATGAAGGAGCTGCGTCAATCAGTCTGGCATGTGCCCTCTCAACAGGTGGCTCGGAGTGGCGAAGAAGTTTGATTGGTGTGAGAATGTTCCTGGTGATGTCGGACGACCATCATAGAAGCCGCCACGGAACCCTGCTTGCGTGCTGCTAATGCGGGGTGGAAGATCATGTGTCACAGTACGCGCTTGATGGACAGCGCACATTCCACCAAATTATGGTTGACTCTTCCCATCCTGGGAATCGCTCACTCTCACCTTGGTACTTTGTATACGGCAATACCTTGGTTTACTCAGTCCCCCATGCGATGCTTCAATTAGGTAGGTAGGCTACTAAAACTGGCAGTTATAGGTGTTCGAAACATAGGTCGATAAGAAAGAATCTATCCTGGCTATGAGGGTATCTGGACTCTCCAATGGCAGTTGCAATTTTTGCTAAGCAAAGAAAACCCGGAAGAAAGATATCAGGAAATAAAAGAAATAGGGAGTCAAAGGAAAACCAAACAACGATTCCCTGTGCGTCCGTCAAGAGGTTTGCTCCCTTCGAAGTGTTCATTAGAACATGACCGCGAGTATACAGCAAGAAACTACCGCAATACCCCCGTTCACGAGGTGGCCCGTGTATACCAATGATCGAAGATGTGTTCTTCGCTTGCGAATAATTCCCTCCCAAAGCACAATAATAACATGCTCAACCCAGAAACGCCAAATCTTAAGAAATCTCGTCGAGAACAGTGGCTCGCAAAGGAGCTACAGATAATATGATGTTGTACAGACCCAGGAAATAATGTGCAAAACCGTATCAGCCACATGGCTGTCTTAATTTGATTTTTTGTCTTTCTCTTGCTTGTGCTCTCATACCGCTCGCTCGGATGACTCGCCATCAGCAATAATCGGAATGCCCAGCCCACGATCAGGACTCTGAAGAACCAACATCTCATGTCTCCTTGCCTTCATGAATTCGGCGATGCTCTTAATCAAAATGAACCATCCAACAACCATGAGAACATATGCCATCCACTCGCTCCCGGTGATGTCCCCCAGCCCGCGCCCTCGGCCTTCTGTGACTTCTTGTGCCTGGAAGTTGTGCGAGTTCGGGTCCGGGGGCGCAGCGTATCCGTCAGGACCGCCCATGTTGGGTGCATCGCCGGGGCCGCTCTTAATCTTGAAGCCATACTGGATGAGTGTGACACCAAGGCCCGCAAGCGATCCGTTCTTGGCTGCGTGTGTCGAGTGGAGGAGATATGTGAGAAGGAAACCGACCAGCTGGAACGCGGCTGAAATGATACCGTTCCAAATAAACGAGAAGACGGAGCCAACAGGGAGACCATCAACAAAGACTTCGTCGAATCCGCCTAGTCCTGGTGCTAAGATTGTGGTTTCCCAGTAAGGAGGGACTGCATCGGCAGCGGCTTGTTCGTATGTCTAACAAATTCATAGTTAGTGAATAATTCCCACTCATGATACTAGAGACGGCGTAACTCACGGGTGGTTGCTCATCCTTCTCTGATTCCGTTCTCTCGGGTCTGGCCGACATATTCGCAAACACTCCGTCCGTTCCCGACCCGCCGCCTACAATTCTTGGTGACCGAATCACTGGTGCTGTTGAAGGTTGTGCTAGACTGTGGCCTGTGCGAGATTGCGAACTAGAAGCTTGCGGCGCGACGCTTGGGGTGGAGTTCTGTCGCACGAGGCGTTGTCGGTCATCAGCCTCGTCGTCGCTATCGTCATCATCAAATGCATCTGCGAGTGCTGCATCGACGGTGCCATTGCGTCGGTTCGGAGACGAGGAGCGGGAGTGAAATGAGGGTGGCGGAGAGTGAGGGACATGCGGCTGTCCAAGACGATTGTTTGATGGTTCGACTGGGGATCGCAAGAGGGTCTCTTCGTCGTACTCCTCCTCGTGGACGTTGACCTGGTGCGGGATTAGTATCGTCAGGCAAGAATCACTGGAATTTACACATACCATCTTGTATCCGGGAGCCATGGTGATGGCTTTTTGGTCCTCGTTGCTACAGACGGAGCGATTGAAGGACGGAGAGATCAGGCAGTGGCGGTTATGGTCGCGGGAGTATACGTAATGTCACACTAGCCGGCTACCCCGGATAATCGACCGTAAGGGGCACCTCTGCTGGGAGCAAGGACAAACGAATATAAAGGAGAGAGCGTGTAGGAAGGTAAATAGTAAAGAGAGGTATATCGCCTCTTGAGAGGAGGGTATATCCGCAAAGGGTCGATAAAGGAAGGGGATGACAATGACTGGAACGTACCCGGCGGAGCGCTGGGCTGTGTCGTGATAGCACCCCGTGACTAAAGTGTCTCTATTATGGAACCATCTGGTCCCCGTCTTATGCTCCTGCCTGAGGCATAAGGTTAAGGGTGCGACCCACTCAGCCACTCTCCACTCAAGCGGCGGGACAAAGTAGATTTCGGAGGCTTTAGCCTCCGATCGCCGAAGTAAAGTCTTTGGTCTGCAGTTAATCGATCCGTCATTGAGCCCCATGCCATTGGCTAGGGTGTGGTCCACGATAATCTGATTTTGGGTCTCGTCCATTCGAGGAACAAACTGATTGCTTGATCGCGCCAAATATTCTCTTGCCTGATCAACCGACACTGTACCACACATAATGTCGCGCCCTTTATCAGTAAGCCAATGGCCCTCCAAGGCCCCGTGTCGCAATGCCATGCTAACTAGACCAGCACCGGATCTACACAGAAGTCCTCTCCAAGTGGCCGAAGCAGGAGCTTCGTCCCGACTACCAACTCCAAGATGTAATTCGCGCGACTATAGACAAGCGATTCCAGGCCTACCAACCCTCCATGGAGGCCGAGGAGCTCTTCAAAGCACGATCACTACAGTTTCTGCAGCAAAATCGGTGGAACGAGAAGGCATGTTCTTCGAAGCCGAGAGCCCTCTGCTTTTGGCTAACACTTTGTAGTACAAGTTATCGGGCCAGATGCTCAAGCCAACCAGTCAGCCGACATATTTCGACGACCTGATTCGCGAAATCGAAGAAGCCCCAAAGAGAACTTGGTTCGAGCGCCTAGGAAAGAGACTTTCAGGCATGATCAGACTATCTTAAAAAACGATTTTAACGAAACCAAGAGGAAGCGCGAGACGGAGAAGAAAAATTCACAAGGGTCGCAGACAGAGGACGTAATACTTGGTCACATATTATTCACGATTGACGCCACGACACTTCACGGTGGGATTATTATCGAAGGTTAAGGGAAACGAATGTTAACAACAGTGTATATCAGTGTACGATTATCTGTACAAAATCGAGCCAAAAGAAGCTCCTGTCTATATTCAACACAACGCCTGTATGTTCCTCGTGGTGTGCATGTCTAGATGTACTTCATCTCCGGGTCCAGCCTGTTCATCAACTCCATACTCTTTTCGTACATGGTGAATACGATACCGCCGCTCATCACCAATCTGGCAAGCCGAGGTAGTGCGCCGCTCCAGAATGTGAGCACACCCTCATTCTTGAAGATGGACACCGCACACTTGATCGTACTCCCATAAAGCTGTTTGGCCTCGATGCTCTGCATTCGCGTCTTGATGGTATCGAGGGGCTGGGTGACAGCAACGGTGACAGTACCTGCCATGCCGCCAATGGTGAAAGTAGATATGGTTCCGAGCTTCTCCCCTGGAGCTATCCATGATTCGGCGAGCTGGCGAAGGGTGGTGTAGGTACTGAACCGAACAGCGGAGTTGGCTGACTGGCGAAGGGTCGTAGGGACAAAGCCCTGGAAGAATCCGGCAATGCCTCGTTCGCGAGCGATAATGGGGACGGCGTGAAGGAAGCCGCGCATTCGTGGTTTAGCCGACTTTCGGTCATCAATACTGCGAAAGCTGTTAGCATCAATAATTCGGGCGCAAAGGGATGTCAAGATCTCCGTACAGCGTTGTCTTGATGCTCTCTGTCGGCGTCACAGCAAGTAGAGACTCTGTCACACCAGCACCGAAGCCGGCGATCACAGTTCGGGGACCGCTAAGTTTTCCATCGGCGTCGGCAAGCATTCGCTTGTACTGATCAAATGCGACGAATCCTGGATTAAGCGTTAGCATGTTCAAAGAGCATTCAATTGCACACCCTGACTGCGATAGACGTCACATACGAATGCCGGCCTTCGCAGAATTTCCAATGATCAGTGTCGTGCATCCCGCATACCATTGCTTGCCAAACGGTGGCCATGGCAGCTTCTGGCCCTCGGCTAACCTAGTATTGAGCTGGGAACGAGTCTTGGCGACTTTCGGGGTGTTAGTTGATCGTTGCGCGTGTATCTGCGGCAATTTCTATGGCAAGGAAAATTCGAGACGCACATTCGGCAGGGTAGGTAATGGCTGCATTGGGTGGAAGAAGTGGTGGTTAGCTGTTTGATCCGACTGACCTCGGCCAGGATGTCGTGTGCCAACTTACCAATCTCAACTGCGCCAGCGGTTGACCCAGCGAGAATAGAGCGGAAGGCACTGGGGGTCTTCTTTTTCTGACCCTCAGGGGAATCCTTGGAGGCCGCGGTCGCCATTATCGCTAGAAGCTAAAATCTAACGACGGAAGTTGAATACTTGCTTAAGATTGACAGCCCCTCCGATCTTTCACAAGCCGAGAGCTGGGCCTGGAAAGTCGTCAAAAATCATGGGGATTAGCTTCGCCTACCCTATAGCAGTTTCACTTTTTGTGGGGACTCTAGATCCGAAGTCGCATCTCGTACCAGCACGCTGAAGAGAACCCCGCAGCTACCATGATGGGAAAACGCTTGGTGCACGAGGACAAATCCCGTTTCCATTCAAGATAAGGACCCGAGAAAATACATGGCTGCGTAGTGCGTGTGGTGCACTTAGAAGATTGCTAACATTTTTAACAGCCAATCGGAGACCTATCTTTGAAGAACACTCCGGGATATCTCAGAGATCCATCTAGTATTCCTCGTTCTCGTACTCACCCTCGGTAGTGGAAGCTGAAATACTATAGTCGGATCTTAACTTGTCCTTCCAATCCTATAGCTATAGTAAAGTTCCTTAATAATCTACTACCGAGTATGAGTATGCGAAGGAGGAATACTAAAGAGATATCTGAGATATCCCAGGGTGTCCTTCAAAAGATAGGTCTGCGATTGGCCGTTCAAAATGCGCAGAGAGGTCAAGTTTGGCCACGTCCCGTCTTCTGTCTCACAACCGACGTCGCGACACTGCCTAAACCGCGATGCGGCTCAGTGCAAAGCCACCTAATTTCCCATTAATCTCGGCACAGGTATCTCATGACTATGTTTCTCACATGAAGGAAGATTCACGCGCCATTCCTCCCAGTATTTATCAGGATCGCTTCGGTTACGACTCCAATATACTCACTCACACTCTGGCGTGCTCCCCTACATAGCGTCCTCCCCATTGTCGCCCAGGTCCAACTGATGTATATACTGACAGGCAAACCAAAATTTCAATAGTGGGAGGCATAGACCGTAGTGGAGTTGATGTTGGCGAAGCTTATTCTTTTTGTTGACCTCACCTGATAGAATTCACTCTCCTCACTTGTCCCAAACACGCGGGCAAGTGCGGGAAAATAGAGTAAAGTATATAACGAGACGAGCTAAAGATTTACGAGAAACTAGATAACATTTGTTGTTCACTCCTATCTAGACTCGCGATATGCATGTAGAAACCTTACCGCAGGTAAGATTCAGCTACTTGAGCCATCGTAGCAGCTATTATAGAACGATAAAATGATGTGATAAGAACGTGCTATTGATTAATAGCTTGGAAATTATTTACACCCGAGGCCCTTGGGCGATAAAATATTCTTCATAAGGTTACTCCACCTCTACGAGTTCGCAATCCATGCCAAATAACGCAGAACAATATCCGGGAAAAAATTATTTGAAATTTTAAATGGAGAAAGCAGATGCCGAAAGAGACGTCGAAAGAGATGTCGGGTTTACAGAAGATGACTTGCTGGAGGCCAGAGAGGCGGCATCCAACATGTCACTTGAAGAGGTGATCAAAGTGATGAAAAGTGTGGTCAAGGTCCACGAACATGACCCCAACTTCCCGCATAGCCTGCTGCTCCGAATTGACGCATTTCTAGGTAAGTCTCAGCTACCTTTAAGGAAGTATATGTTTGCGTGATACTGATTTGTATTCTAAATTCAGAAAATAGTGATGTTCTGGAACACCCGGAAAGACATAGTGACCTCGTCACGGAGATGAAAGTTGAAGCTGCACTTATATTGAATAATAGCCCTTACGCTTCGGTTCGCTCTACTGTCGACAATAAAGACGATCCTTCAATTCCTTGTTCGACAATCCGGGCCTGGGTGATCGGGACTGTATTTTCATTCATCATGTCAGCTGTGAACCAGTTCTTCAGTATTCGACAGCCCCATATATCCATTCCATCCAATGTTGCCCAGCTGTTAGCCTATCCAGTTGGTAAGTCCTACCGGCACTTTGATACAGTTATTGTATTGGCATCTGTCCATCTGTGAAGTTGCTTACAAATGTTTACAGGCAAGGCTTGGGAAAAATTCATTCCTGCCTACGAGATTTCCCTCTGGGGTCATAAGACCAACTTGAACCCCGGCAAATTCTCCAAGAAAGAGCACATGCTCATTGCCATTATGGCTAGTACCTCCATGTCTCTACCAATCTCCAGTTTCGTTGCCTGGACACAAGTCCTTCCCCAACAATTCAATCAGCAATATGCCCGCAGTTTTGGGTATCGTATCTGCCTTGGAATTTCCACCAACTTCATTGGATACGGTTTGGCCGGAATGACGAGAGAGTTTCTCGTATATCCAGCGTACTGTATTTGGCCAGCCAGCATGACCACAATTTCACTCAACAGCGCCCTGCATGAGAGGGAAGGCAAGGCTGTCCCGGGACCATTTGGAAGGATATATCACATGTCGAGATACCATTTCTTCCTCTTGACTTTCGGGGCCATGTTTGTGTATTTCTGGTTTCCCAACTATCTATTCACAACCTTGACATATTTCAGCTGGGTGACTTGGATCGCGCCAACAAACAAACATAACAGCATCATCAACGGCTTCAAGAATGGCCTGGGAATGTTTAATCCATGGCCTACCTTCGATTGGAATATATTGCTCTACGATGGCCTAGATCCCCTCATGGTACCGTTCTTCGTCACAGCGAATAGGACACTTGGGATGTGGCTGCTGGGCTTTGTCATTCTCGCCGTATTCTACACAAACACCTGGAATACCGGATATTTCCCAATAAATACTAATTTAGTTCACGACCACTTTGGGAAGCCATACAATGTATCAAGGGTTGTTGACGATAAAGGAATGTTTGATTTACAACGCTATGTTGGATATTCCGGCGCTTATCTCAGCTCCGCCCTTGCCGTTTTATATGGGTGTTACTATGCCATCTACACTTCTGCGATTGTATACGTCGTTCTGTTCCACCGCAACGAGTTTGTGAACAATCTCAGGCCGTTGTGGCTCAAGATACGCCGGAAGAAGGGAAATGAAGAGGAGACAGGCCATGGGTACCAAGATGTTCACAACCGCCTCATGAGTGCCTACAAGGAGGTTCCTGGCTGGTGGTACATTGTTACCTTGTTGGTTTCTGCCGGCTTTGGCTGGGCTGGAATTGGTGGCTGGCCGACTCACACGACTCTTTGGGTAATCCCATTCGGAGTACTGCTAGCCATTATCTTTATGATCCCAATTGGTATCATCAACGCTATGACTGGGGTTCATGTTACCCTCAATGTTCTGGCAGAATTCATTGGGGGCATGTGGGTGGAAGGAAACGCTTTAGCAATGAATTTCTTCAAAACATACGGGTAAGGCTCTATGATTCTACCAGCAAGTGTTGAAGCTGACCAACATGCCCAATCCGACAGTTTCGTTACCTGTGCACATGCTATCAGTTTTGCGAATGACTTGAAACTAGCACATTATCTCAAGGTTGGTTCCCCGACTGTCATATGACCCCTATAGCATATGCCTTTTTGGACAATTCATCGCCGCTAACGCCCTTTCTCAGATACCTCCGCGAGCCACATTCTGGGCCCAGATGATCGCCACGCTTATTTCCACATTCATCTGCAACTTGGTCATGGAAGTCCAGATGGACATCAAGAACGTCTGCACGCCAGAGGCCCCAATGCGATTCTACTGTCCCAGCATCAACAGCTTCTTCTCTGCGTCGGTCCTATGGGGCACCATCGGCCCAGCCAAGATGTTCAGCCA